TCCAGGACCCCCACCCCACCTCTCTGCACCCCCACACCCCCCGTCCCCGGGACCCCACGGGAGAGGAAGGCTGCTCCCCAAGTGTGTGCCACAGAACCCTCATTTCCAGGCTCCTTCCCCAAAGACCAAGGTCTGTAGCCAAGTGCCTTTGGGGAAACGCAGAGTTCGTCTGAGCTGAGGAAGACTTCTTCCTGCAGGTCTTGTCAGGGCATTCCTGTGTCCATGCCCTCAGAGGACGTGCAAGCAGCCATGATCCCAGGGCCCCCTCTCCCACCCACGGCCCTTGGAGAAGCCCCGTCTCTAGTCGCCATCTGGGCCCCAGAGCGAGAGGCGTCTGGGTGCCGACTCCACGGCCACCCCTGGCCCTTTCTCGTGCCCTGGCCACGTGGCTAGCTTCCCTGATCTTCAGGGTCTTCCTCTGTAGAATGGGGCGGTCTACAGGTGTGGGGCGGATTTCAAAGATGAAGCCCCTGGCGCGAGTAAGGCATCGATGTCCAGAACCTCTGGCCGATCCTTGTAAAGAACCGGGCGCGGAGCTGCCCTCAGCAGCCAGTTGGTGTCGCTGAGATCTCAGACATCCTGGTGAGGGGGCTCCGCCAGGGGGCTCAGACAGCCTGGAGACTCAGCCGGGGGGCTCAGACAGCCTGGGGCCCAGCCAGGGGGTTCAGAACCCAGGGGATTCATTCGGGGCTGGGGCTCCAGGTTTTGCGCTTTCCACCACCTGGCCGACTGGCTCGACCTCTCCCCTGGCACCCAGCTCGGCACCTGTTACCCTCCTCGGGGGACCAGACACGTGCCGCCCTGGTATCCCGCGGGCGTGCGAACGCCGCGTGCCTCGACAGCCGCCGAACTATTTCTGGCGGTGACCTTCTTGCGGTGTCTGTCGCTGGCCACCTCCTCCTCCTTCCCCAGATGGCCTTCAAAGATCGCCCCGTCAGCAGCCAGATCTGTCGTTCCGGACACTTCTCTGCACCCTTCTGCGCACTAGGGCACAGCCCAGAGGCAGACACACGTGGCCTTTTGTCGGACGTGGCCTTGTCTGGACGCCCATCTCACCTGCTCTGGGCACGTGGGCGAAACACGTTGGCCCCGCAGCCTCGGGAAAGGCCCCTCTGCGGTTAGAAGAAGACCCTGGATTATCAGGGAGCGTCCGCGGGGCCCTGCCACGGGGTGCTCGCCCACCCGGCAGCTTCAGGGACAGGTGGGGTTGCTCCTCCCACGCGATGGATGAACAAACTGAAGCCGAGAGATGTTGGGTGCCATCAGCCCCATCCCAGGCCAGGCTCTGACACCGGCAGGAATTCAAGGACCCGGCCCCCTACACACAGGCGGGGCTGCTGCTCTGAAACAAGACTGAATGAGGCAGGACGTCCGACGGCTCCCATCTTCACAGCCGTGTTTCCTTGGGAAGCCCTGGACGGTTACAGCCCAGAGAATTCCAGATGATGTTGGGTTTTTGTTTTGTTGGTTTTTTTTTTTTTTTGAGTTGGAGTCTCACTCTGTCACCCAAGCCGGAGTGCAATGGCATGCTCACGGCCACTGCAGCCTTGACCTGCTGGGCTCCGGCGATCCTTCTGCCCCAACCTTCCAAGTAGCTGGAACTACAGGCACATGCCACCATGCCCAGTTAATTTTTCTTGATTTATTGTAGAGATGAGGTCTCACCAAGTTGCCCAAGCTAGTCTCAAACCCCTGGACTCAGGTCATCCTCTCGGCTTCCCAAAGGGTTGGGATAACAGGCGTGAGCCACCACGCCTGGCTCCAGATGCTTTTGATTTCTGCTGTTGAAACTGTTGTCCAGCCATCAGGTGACCCCTAAAGCAGGAATCGCACTCTTTCTTCTGTAAGGCGCCAGCTAGTCAGTCCTTTAAGCTTTGTGGATCACAAGGTCTCTGTCACAGCTAGACAACTCTGCTCTTGTGATGTGAAAGCAGCCGTAGATAATACACAAAAGAATGTCCGCTGCTGCGTTCCAATAAAACTTTATTTATACACACAGACAGAGGGTCAGATTTGGCCCAAGGCCCACAGTTTGTCAACCCTCGATCAATCAGATCAGCACCGTCCACACTGACAAGTGGTCAGGCATGGTGGCTCAAGCCTGTAATGCCTGTACTTTGGGAGGCCGAGAACAGAGAATTGCTTGAGCCCAGGAGTTCGAGACCAGCCTGGGCAACATAGCAGAGACCTCGCCTCTACAAAAAATTAGCCAGGTGCAGTGGCACAAACCTGTAGCCCCAGATACTCAGGAGGCTGAGGTGGGAGGATTGCTTGAGCCCAAGAAGTCGAGGCTGCAGAGAGCAGGGATCGTGCCACTGCACTCCAGCCTCAAAAAAAAAAAATACAGTTCGAACCTCCAGACCTAGTATAAATCCAGCCCTACCATCCACTAGCTGGGTGACCCTGGGCAAGTGACTTAGCCTCACTGGGCCTCAGTGACCTTTTCTGCACAGTGGGGATAAGGGCTGCGGTGACAGGTGATTGGTGTGACCCTGGAGATAGACAGCCTGAGCAGCGCAGGCGCCTGGCATACAGGAAACATCGCGTGTCAGGTGCATCATGGTCGTGAGCCCGTCGGGGATCCCCATCCTAAACCAGCCACCCCCTCCTCGCAGCTCACAGGGACCCCGGCGCCTCTTATGTCACGGTCCCCCTGGTGCAGCTGTGTCACCCTCTGTGAGTCCCCGGAGCGGCCGTGACCATCCGTCTCAGCAAGGATAGCTGTCCACCCACACGCTCGGTGACGTTCCCTTTGCCTGGATTCTAGAGCATTCTTCCTGCCCGTCCCCCTCCCCAGGAGGTGCTTCCTGACGCTCCACCGCCAAACTGGGTCGGCCCCCTGCTCACACACTCGGGGGGGCATTAGTACTCCTAATTAACAAATCCTCCCGGGACTCCGCCTTCATGTCGGCCACCCCGCACGACTGCGAGTCCTAGCAGGGGTGTGCCCAGATCTGTGTCGCTCATGGCTGGGAGTCTCAGCCCACGGTGCCAGGCACATAGTAGGTGCGCAGGAAACGCTTGTGGACTGTCGTTCACTCTGGAAGGTGAGAGACCACGGACTTTCTCAGAATAAAGACGGGCGCGATTAAGGAGCTCTTGCCACTGACCCTGTCTTTTTCGTCACTTATTCAACACCCACCATGCATTTCTCCCTACCTCTCTTCAGTAACGAATTCTGTACGGGCCTTGTGAAACCTTTGGACTCTGCTGATAGAAATAGAATGTGATTTTAAAAAGTAAAAAGTGACTATGTGTCATCACTTTGATACATAATCAGTGTAAAAACTATTAATAAGCTATTGTGCTGGCTTTTGTTTTCATACCAAGTCTTTAAAATCCAGCCTGGGTGTGGTGGCTCACGCCTGTAATCCCAGCACTTCAGGAGGCCGAGGCAGGAGGATCCCTTGAGCCCAAGAGTCTGAGACCAGCCTGGGTGACATGGCGAGACTTTGTCTCTTTCAAAAATCAAAAAATTAGCCTGTAATCCCGCGCCTTTGGGAGGCTGAGATGAGTGGATTGCCTGAACCCGCGGGTTCGAGACCCGCCTGGGGAGCGAGATCTCATCTCTACAATAAATCAAAAAATCAGCCGGGTGTGGTAGCGCATGCCTGTAATTCCAGCTCCTTGGAAGGCTGAGGCGGAAGGAATGCCAGAGCCCAGCAGGTCTGCACCCACCCAAGGAGCATTTATGGAGCGCCTTCAGTATGCCAGGTGCTGTTTCTCATCACTGTGACCCTCCAATATCTGTTGAAACCGTCTGAGACCCTACGCCAGCTTTAACACTTTCTGTTATCTTCAGTGGCGAGAAGCACTCCCACTGTGTGTCTCAGCTTCCCACAAAACCTCCGTCACCTCGGACCTCCCAGCCATGCCCTTTGCTGACAGAACAGTAGCCGTGAATAACCTGCTGGGCCAGTCCCGTGCTCAGCACTTCGTGCAGATCCATGTAATCACTGCAGGCCCAGGAGGTGGGTTCTGTTCCTCTCTCTCGTCTTACAGATGAGGATACTGAGGATCAGAGAGGGGCGGCGGCTTGCCCAGGATCACACAGCCTGGACACCGTGAAACGGGCTTTGCCCCCCGATTTCCTGCCTCCAGAATCCTCACTTCCACCCCTCATTTCTGCCCCGTGCCCTCCCGCCCCACACTCGTACAGGTAGAAGATGATCAGATTTGCTTGCCGACCCGGACGCCATGGTGACACATGACTCTCTCTCTTGTTTCCTAAGGTGGTGGCCCTTAGTAAGAGAAGTCAGGAGGCCGAGGCCGCTTTTCTGAGTGTTTACAAGCAGTTAATCGAAGCACCAGGTAAGACACGCTCACGGTCCGTGATGGGGTCATCAGCGGCAAGAAGCCACCATCAGCCGCGACTCGGGGACTTCTTTGTGGTGGGATCTGAGGGATGGGCCTGGACTCCCGGGCGAGGCCGGGATCTCCGCAGGGGTCTGCTGGGACGTGTCCCCACCGACCTCCCCCGTGGCCTCGGAGGTTCTGGGTGAGCCGTCCGACCGGGACCCCAAGGGCAACCGGAGTCTTGTCCACCAGAGCCCCGTCCCCTCGCCGCAGAGGACAGAAGGCCCCAGTGCAATGGAGGCCAGGCCTCAGTTTCCCCCCAGGTGGCACAGCCCGCCTCAAAAACCTGACTCTGAGTGCAAGCCAGATCTGAGACTGATGATCCCATGTGCAGAAAGTATAAAACAGGCAAACATGCATCTGTCAGTGCTGTTCGCCATGGCTGTCAGCGGGCAGATAGGTAAACAGTGTGGTCTCTCCGTGCGATGGAGTATTACTCGGCCGTGAAAAGGAATGAGGTACGGACAGGCGCTCCCACACAAATGGACCTCAAAAGCAGGGTGCTGAGTGAGAAGCCAGACACAGAAGGCCACATGGCTCGTGACTCCTTGTCTGTGAAATGTCCAGAGCAGGTGGACGCACAGAGACAGAGTAGGTTGGTGCTGCCGGGCGTGGGGGAGGGGGGCTGGGGAGTGACTGCAGGGTGTGGATTTCCCCCAGGGGCATGAGAATGTTCCAGAACTAGAGGGAGACAGTGGCTGCAGAACACCGTGAATGTGCTTCGTGCCACTGAGTTGTTCACTTCAGCATGATACCTTTTACGTTGTGTGAGTTCCACCTTGAGTGAAAAAAAAAAAATCAGCCCGAGCCTGGCTCGGTGGCTCAGCCTGTAATCCCGCGCCTTGGGAGGCCGAGGTGAGTGGATCGCCTGAGCCCGCGGGTTCGAGACCTGCCTGGGCAGCGAGACCTCATCTCTACAATAAATCAAAAAATCAGCCAGGCGTGGTAGCACACGCCTGTAATTCCGGCTACTCGGAAGGCTGAGGCCGAAGGATCGCCGCAGCCCGGCAGGTCGAGGCTGTGGTGGCCGGGAGCGGCCACTGCACTCCAGCCTGGGTGACAGAGTGAGACTCCGACTCAAAATTTTTAAAATGTCCTTTGCTGCAAGTGGCCTGTTCCTGGTTACCCGCTTATCTACCGACCCAGATGTGGGAGCCCAGAAGGGCGGCAGGGTTTGCTTACCCATGACAGAGCCAGGGAGACCCCGCCGTGCTACCTCTGTCCACCCAGACCCCCCCTCCCTTCCGGCCTTCCACACGGTCACAGGAATCGGTGCCATGAAGGTGTGTGGGCTGGGGCCGTGAAGGGCAACGGGACCCCTCCCCAGCCCTCGACCCCAGAGCCTGGGCCGTGGAGACCAGGGCCGTTGACGTTTGCTGTCTTCCATGGCAAGGTGGTTCTCGGAACTTTGCACTGGGCGGGGAAGTCCCTTGCGCTCTCCGTCTGGGGCAACCCTAGCGGGTGGGATGGAGGGACTCCAAAATGCGTGTCTATGTGAGAAGCCGTGGCGGGTGGAATTAGTTACGGATCTTGAGAGGACACCCTCCTGGCTTCTGGGAGCCCTGAGTCCAGGGACTGGGGCATGGCCAAGCGAGGGGAGGACGTAGCCAATGCACCCAGGAGCGCCCTGGGAATACGGGGAGGGGACGGGACGCCCAAGGTGGCCATCCCCCAGGGGACGCAGGGACAGAGGCGGATCCCCCCAGCCCTCAGAGAAGATGGCCCTGCCGCCACCTTGAGTTTGGACTGGAGTTCCAGAGCCAAGAGAGGACGAATTTCTGCTGTTTCGGCGGCCCCTGCTGGCAGCGCTTTCTTACGGCAGCCTGAGGGCACTAAACTGGCAGCCTGGTCAGAGCCGGTGCCCTGAAGCCTGCGGGCTGGATGTGGAGGGAGATCTCACGCCTGATGCCCCTCCAAGCGTGGCCCGTGCACCAGCAGCATTGGCCTCACCCGCAAGCTGGTCAGAGACGCAGCGTCTCGGCCAGGACCGGTGGCTCATGCCTGTGATCCCAGCACCTTGGAGGCTGAGGCAGGAGGATTGCTCGGGACTGAGAGTTCGAGGCCAGCCCGGGCGATGGGGTGAAACCCCAACTCTACAAAAAACAAAAAACTGAAATAAAAATAAATAAATAAAGAGGCCAGCGACAGTGGCCCACACCTGTAATCCCTGCATTTTGGGAGCCTGAGGAAGGAGGATCGCTTGAGCCCAGGAGTTCGAGACCAGCCCAGGCAACATAGCAGGACCCAGTCTCTACAAAAAAATACAAAAATTAGCCAGGCGTGGGGGCGTGCCTGGAGTCCTGGCTGCTCGGGAGGCTGAGGTGGAAGGATTGCCCGAGTCCGGCAAGTCGAGGCTGCAGTAGCCGTGAGTGAGCCATTGCACTCCAGCCTGGGCAACAGAGTGAGACTCCGACAGGGAGGGAATGAGGGGGGGAGGAAGACAGGGGTCGGCGTCTGCATTACCAGCCCAGCGGGCTGTGCACACACGAGCTGGAGAGGCAGAGCCCACGGGGAGTGTTTGTTCCACGCGCTGCACGTTACAGGCCCTGCGGCCACAGGACGTGCCAGCGTGCTTCTCTGCGGCACAGAGAGACCGAAAAGTGCTCTGGAGTCTCATAACCGGGAGAGACGGGGCTCAGGGCTGTGCAGCTGTCTCCAGAGCCTCTGCCCCGTAGGACAGTGGCCTCCCACAGAGGCTAAGTCCGTCTCCCAGGGCTGCTGGGACAGGCATCCGTGACCTTGAGGCCTTGGAAAAAGATGCGTCTTCTCTCGCAGGCCCGGAGGCCACTTCCAAGATGGGGGTGCCAGCAGGGCCGTGCATGCTCTGGAGGCAGGGAGGCTGCTTCCTGGCCTCTTTCGGGTCTGGTGGCTCTGGGCCGCCACTGGCTCATGGCTCCATCATGCCAGTTCCGCCTCGTGGTCATGTGGCTCCCTTCTGGGCCTCTCTCAAATCTCCCTTCTCTTTTTTTAATTTTTATTCTTTAAGAGACAGTGTCTCGCTCTGTCGCCCAGGCTGGAGTGCGGTGACACGGTCGTAGTTCACTGCAGCCTCAACCGCCTGGGCTCAGGCACCCTTCCTCCCACTTGTGCTTCTAAGCCTTATTCCTAACATTCAATAATTATCAGGCAATCCTCCCGCCTCAGCCTCCCGAGTAGCTGGGACTACAGGCCCACACCACCACACCTGGCTAATTTTTAAAAGCTCTTTGTAGAGATGAGGTCTTGCTACGTTGCCCAGGCTGGTCTCCAACTCCCGGCCTCTTGAACATCAGCCACCTGAGCGCGAGGGAGGGATCGGCAGTCACTGGGCACTGCTAGGGGAGGGAGGGAGGGAAGAGGGTGGAGGCAAAGGGTACTTGGCCCACTACCAGGGAGAGGAGGGCCAGCTAGAAGCTCACACTTCACCTGCATGCGGCCTCACTTGTACCCCGCATTCCTGTAATAACATAACATTTTTTAAAAAAATAAAATAAAAACTCCCAGCCTCAAGCAATCCTCCCACCTCATCCTCCCAAGTAGCTGGGACTACAGGCGTGCATCACCACATCTCGCTAATTTTCATTTTTTGTAGAGATGGGGATCTCACTGTGTTGTCCAGGCTGGTCTCGAACTCTTGGCCTCAAGCGGTCCTCTCGCCTGAGCCGCCGAAATGCTGGGATACAGGCGTGAGCCACCCCACCCAGCCCCTCTCTTTTCTCTTTTGACGACACTTGTCATTGGATAATGCAGGTTGATTTCATCTCGGGATCCTTAATTGTATCTGCAAAGACACTACCTCACGGTAGCACCAGGGGGCAGCGCTGAGACCGGCCTGTGCTTCCAGGCTCAGGGTCGGACCCGGGTCCAATTCCTGCCGGTACCTCTCACTGCATGACTATAAGCAAATGAATTCCCCTTCCCGTGCCTCAGTCTCCTGTTCTGTAAATGAGGAATAATATGAGGACCTGCTTCATGGGTTGTTGGGAGGCTTTGCGGTGCATGGTACACAGCAGGTGCTTACTAAGTGTTAGCTACTCTCATTACCACGCATATGTCTGGCTTCCCTAGGAGATGTGAGAGGCGCCAAGCCTGGAACTGAGTCGCGCTAAATTTGTATACCCGGAACTTAGTATACAGTAAGTGCCTAATAATTATTGAATGTTAGGAATAAGGCTTAGAAGCACAAGTGGGAGGAAGGGTTCCTGGGGCAGAGAGAGAACTTTTTCAGCTTGAGCCCTTTGCTCAGCTTGTGCTTATGTATTCAGGGAGCATGTACCGAGTGCTTGCTGTGTGCCTGGCACTCCCTAGACACAGACGCGGGCCCAGCTTTCAGAAGCGCACATTCAGGTGGCAGAGGTGACTAGGTCCTCGGTCCAATATTCTGGCATCGAAAACCCAGGCTCGGGTTTCATCCCAGGGACTTCCATCCCCACTTGGAAACAAGACTGCATTCGGGGGGCCACGATGAGACCCTCTGCTTTCTGGAGACCAGGCTGTTGAGACACCATCCCGGGGCCGGCTGAGGGCCGCCAAGCCCCGGGGTGGGCACGGAGCCCTCCGGAAGGCCTGGTGCCCTCCCACTCCCTCCCCAAAGCCCGGGAGGGGGCGTCACGGCCAGCCTGGGGCTGCCCCCCTCCCCCGGGGAGGGAGATGCAGGAGCCATCCCCAGCTGTCACCGCGTGGCAGAAAACGCGGCGCCTTAACGGATGGAGACGTACCCCACGAACGGCCCCTTCAGGGGCTCTAATTCATTTTCGAGACATTTAAGAATAACAAAATGTTTTAATGATTTCTTAGGGGAATTAGGAAGACATATTTTTGTTCTCATTAAATTTTATCCTCCGATGCAAGAACCAAATGTCAGATGCGTTTGGGGCGCTGGGAGCGTCCCTGATGCACCCGCCCCCCGCGCCCACCCGGCTCCCCCCCCAGAAGCAGCATCCTGGAAAGCGAGCGTCCTGTTTTTATATTTCTTG